CTATAGTCCCAGCTCCTCGGGAGGCCGAAGCAATAGGAACCTTTGAGCCTTGGAGTTACGTAGTGACAAGCCTGGGTAACGTAGTGATATCCTGTCTTTAAAAATAAACAAAAATAACTTCCTTATCAGAAAATGAGTTGATACTACTTAAAATGTGCTATGGTTTGGATGTGGTTTATCCCTCAGAGGTTCATGTACTGGATCACTGATCCCCAGTGTGGTGTGACAAATGGTGAAATTTTTTAAGAGATGGGGCCTAGAAGGTGATTAGGCCACTGCCCTTGGAAGTGATAAATACTGGTCTCACAGAATGAGTTACTTCCCACACAAATGGGTTACTGTTATAAAAGAGTAAGACTAGCAACTGCCTCAACATGTGATCTCGTCCACATATACTCCCAGCTTTGAGATGCTATGCACTATGAAGTTCCTCACCACAAGTGAACAGAAAGAGTGCCCTTGGACCTCCAGAAATGTAAGCTAAAATTAAAAATTACTTAGCTTTGACTATTTTGTTATAGCAATGAAAAATGGACTGATATAAAATGTATAAAGCAACAAATAGCAAAGCAATGAAAATTTATTATTTAGAAACTGGGAGTTTCAGGAGAAACAAATATTGAGGACTGGGAGGTTGGTCCAACAACCATCTTTTTTGCACCCTAACTTTTTAAAAGCTTTTGGTAATACATAATGAGCCAAGAGTAGTGATGTATGCCTATAACCCCAGAACTCTGAAAGGCTGAGACAGAAGGATCCAAAGTTCAAGCCCAGCCTGGGCAACTTTAACATTAAAGAGAGAGAACATTAACAATAACAAACTGCTTAAGACTCAAAGCCCAAGGAATTTAAACTGGTGGAGAAATCAAGGCAAAGGTAGCCTTAACTCCAAACATTCACAAAATGTACCTGGAGTTTAGGCAATAGCAACTTTTTCCAATAGGGGAAAACACATACACATACACATACACACACACACACACACACACACACACACACAGAGCAAGAGAGCAAGTGAGCAACAGCAACCCTCAGATCCAGAGTACTAAATGGAAGCTTATTGCTCTCAAGAGATTAAGAATTTGTGCAACAAATAAGCACCTGGGGTAGCCATTCAAAACACATCCTCAGACCAAAATAACTGCCAGATACAGTAAGAAACCTATTCCAGTAGTTGGCGCAGGTTCTACAAAGCAGCAGGAAACAGTATAACTCAATCTGTCTATGGAAATCCTAGTCCTAGCACATGCCAGTTTCTGTTCTAAGACAATTATTAGTAGTATTCCTAAATGCAAATTGAAACAGTGAGATTCCATCTTACTCCAGTAGGAATGCCCATGGTCAAAGAACTCCCAACACCACACAACACTGGGGGAAATGTACATTGATAGAAGTGTAAGACAGTACACACACTTTGGGAATAAGTACGGAGATTTCTCAAAAAACTAAAAATAGAAATTCCATTTGACCCAGCTATATATCTCTTTGATACCTTCCCAAAAGAGCTACAGTTATCCTATTACATACACACCCATGTATCCTGATACATACATATCCATGTTTACAGCAGCAGAACTCACAATAATTAAATCATGAAAGCAGCCTATAATCCCATCAGCTAATGAATGGATAAAGAAAATGTGATATAGGGCCTGGAATTTAGCTCAGTGGCACAGAGCCTGCCTGGCAAGCATGAGGTCCTGAGTTTGATCCCCAGTACTAATAAAAAAAGAAAGAAAAGGTGCTATATATTCACAATGGAATACTACTTAGCCATAAAGAATGATAAATTTGAGTCATCTGTAAGAAATTGATGGGTCTTGAGGCTATAATGCTAAGTAAAATAAGTCACAAAAGGATAAATACTGCATGGTCTAATACGAGACTCACTATACAAACAATTTAAAGAACAAAAAAAAAGAGCCATGTTAAACAGAGAGTCAGGCTCTGTAGAGATGGGAAGAAGATCTAGGGAAGGAGGAAGAGGAGAGAACAAAGGGCAAACATACTAATTAAAACAACAAAAAAAGAATGTTTGAACTTGGCACAGTAGTACACACCTTTGGTACCAGCTACCTGGAAGGCTGAGGTAGGAGGATCACTTGAACCCAGAAGTTCAAGACCAGCCTGAACAAGAGATCCTGTCTCAAAAAAAAATTTTGGATAATAGGAGCCTGAGTATGCTTACACATGCCAGTAGTCCCAGCACTCAGGAAGGTGAGGTGAGAGAATCACAAATTTTGAGGCCAGCCTGGACTACACCTTTCAAAGTAGGGTCCTCTTTGTTTTGGCTAACAAAGGAGGAATTCCTGCTTTATCATTCTCCCTCCACACCCATCCCCCACATAAAAATAATTTCTAGCCACACAGGAATGAAAACTCATTTCAGCTTTATAAGTAAATCAACCTCCAGGATTTCATAAATATAAATGAATCACCAGAAACCATGAGACACTTTTTCTTTAAAAAAGAAAAAAAAGAAGTAAAACAAGATGGCCAGTATGAATAAATATAACAAGTACAGGGCCAGGGATTTACCTCAGTGATTCCAGCGCCTGCCTTGCAAGCGCAAGGTCCCGAGTTCGATCCCTGGTACCAAAAAAAAAAAAAACAAGTACAATAAGAGACTCAGAAAAATAAATCAAGACACAGAAAATAATTTCAATCTTAAATACATATGTACAAACACAGAGGAATGTTCTATTCTAAGGAATATGCATTTGTTAAGAATTCATAATTTTAAGGGGCCAGGGATTTAGCTCAGTGGCGCTGTGACTGCCTCACAAGCAGAAGGTCCTGAGTTTGATCCCCAGTACCGAAAAAAAAAAAAAAAAAAATTCATAATTTAAAAGTCAAATATTTTGGAAGAATTTATGTAGAAAATGATTAGGTATCCAATACAAAAATATATACACTATTTACACATTCTCTCTCAAAAACTAGTGAAAAGTAATATACATATATATATGTTTAATATTAAAATACACATATATCATATGTACATATATATATATATATATAGCCTAACAACCACAGGCTGAAAACTAAAACAAAGCAACAATCATAGCACAATGGTTAAGAGAATGTGCTTTAGAGCCAGACTACTTGAGTTCATAAGGCAACTTTACCATTTATTAGCTTAACCTCTCTCAGCTTCAATTAATCCATAAAATGGGGTTAGTAGATGTACACAATTTAAATTGCAGTATTTTGTGTATTAATTTAGATGATATATGCAATGCACTGAAAAAATAACTGGCTAAAAATAATCACCAAATAAATATTGACTAGTGTCATTATTATTTGTGGAAAATAAAAATAGGATTACTAAAATAAATTCAATGGAAGTAACTGGAATAAAAGTTTGAAGGAATCTGTCAAAATGAAAGAGTAAGCACGGCAGGGAAATATATATATATGATTGATTACATATAAATATATATAAAGTAACTAAGGAAATTATTCAGAAAGATTAATTCAGAAAGAATTAATTCAGAAAGATTAATAAGATTCCTTCCCCAAAAAGGATTTTTTTTTTTGGTACCGGGGATCAAACTCGGGTCCTTGCACTTGCATAGCAGACGGCGAAACCACTAAGCTAAATCCCCGGCCCTCAAAAAGGATATTTTTAAAAGCAAACAAATAGGGCCGGGGATTTACCTCAGTGGTTTTGCTGCCTGCTGCACAGGCGCAAGGACCTGAGTTCATCCCCCATACCAAAAAAGTAAATAAATAAATATATAAAAGCAAAGAATAAGACAAAGCCAGAAATTTTTTAAATTTCAAAAATGAAAAAACAGAAGATTCAAAATAGATTACTGCCAATAAAGAAAATTATATTTTTGGAATCTGCAACACATGAGAGTAGAACACAGCAACTCTGAGGCTAAATTATTTTCAACCTGGAATTTTACACCTGGACAAATAAATGTTTAAGTGAATGAGGATGTCTTCCTAATGGTTTGTGACTTAGAAGGTGAAGAAACCAGCTGAGCTTGGTGGTATACACATGTAATCCCAACACTGAAGAGACAGAGGCCAGAGGATAGTCTTCTAGGCCAGAGGAAAGTGCTGTCTTAAAGCAAAACAAAACAAAAGGTGAAGAAACCATAAACAGTCAAAACCCTGTGCTTTTAAAAACCTTACCTTCATTAACATATTAACTGAGGTTCTACAATGACTTGCTTTCTTACCTGGGCCAAAAAGTAGGTTCTCTGAATTTGTCTAAAGTTTCCCTAAGGTGTAAAACAGAGGTGTGCAAAATTTGCATATTTGTTGGCATCTTTCTCACAATTTAACAAATTGTATTAGCTCATCCCAATAGCTACGGGGACAAACCAGTAGTTTGTAAAGTTAAAAGATTGCAGTTGAGGTATGCAAAGTACAATATTTAATATTGAAGTTCTAATCATTATTGAGAAAGCAAGCCTTCAATATCATGTTCTGATATTTTCTCAAGCACTGTTTTACTCTATTCAAACTTGAAGGAGAACTTCAATTTACAGTTTCAGAAAAAACTCAATGCAGTAGTTTACACGTTATGTTTAAAAATTAGAAATGTCTCCAAATAAGTCAAATAACCTTTCTTGAAACACAAGCAAAGACAGATTTTGCCTAATATTAACAGAAATTTGTGCTCAATCTGTTGAGATTTAGAAAGGAAGGAAAGAAATTCAGCAGAAGCCTCACCTCAGCCTCCAGGACCAAAACATATTCAGTGAGGGCTTATGCGACTGTTTCTTTAAATTAACACTAACATGCCCTGTTGTCCCTGGAAACTTAAAGCAACATCATTCCTGAAAAAACTAATGTAACCACTGTTCCCAAGCAACAAGACTTTAAGAAGCAGAAGCAGAAGCAGAAGCAGAAGCAGGGTTGTGGACAGGCACCGGCTGCCTGTTCTCCGATTGTCTGCCCCTCCGCCCGTCCCGGATCAACCAAGATATGCGAAGTGACTAACTCGTGACAGCCTCGAGTGCTGGACGCTGGCCACCACTTTCTGGTCCCACTGCTCCAGCAGCAGCCTGCCCCTGGACGGCTTGATGCCCTGATCTCACCTCTGGACCAGGGTTTGGTATTAGGAGGCTAAAGTGACAGTCCTGCGGGAAAATGCCCATTCCAAACTCAATCTCTCAGGTTACGATGGGAGAGGGGACCTCAGTTAAGACTTCACAAGGGGCCTGGATTTTCGGACCCACTCCTGGGTTGGGGTCTTGGATGGGTGGGAGAACTTCCGATATGGGTCAGCAATCACGCAACATTTGAGCCCCTGGCACTTATCTCATGCCAGGATCGGGCATTAGGGGAAAACTATGAGGTCACGATAGATCTGGCCATCCCAACCAGGGATGGAGTTTTAGGATGGAGGAATCCGGGTCAGTAGTTTCAGAGGACCCGGGCCGCCCTAAACGCACTCTGTCGGGTTCCGGAAGAGTCCTGGTTAGAGGTCAAAGATCAAGAAGCAATTTCTCCTAGGCCGAGGCCAGAGTCCAGAAGTGACTGGAGCTAGGAAAGAAAAGCGGCGGCCTTCCTACCTGAGTAGGAGCTATCGCCTGCTGGAGCTGCTGCTGCTGCTGCTCTTCGCTGATCTTCTGCCTCAGTTTCTTGAACATGATGTAGCGCGGAGTCCTGAGTGTGTATGAGACCTGAGGGAACTGAGCCTGGGGCGTCCCGGCCGCGGCGGCGAGGGCGAAGGCGGCTTCTTTACACCAGGCACCGCGGGGGCTGGGCCTCGCCACCTCCTCTTGGAGCTCGCGGGCGGACCGGAACACTCGGCCTGTGGGTGTCGGCGTCGCCGCCGCCGCGTCTCTTTCTTCTGGGTGCCACTGGCTGGGCTCGACCCCCCATTCAGCCCCTGCGGCGGCGGCGGCGGCGGCGGCGAAAACTGCAGCAGGTGAACGGCGCGTCAAGGGCGCTTGCGCGGCCGACGTGGAGCTCAGCGAGAGGGCCCTACGGAGCGCTGTAGAGGACAAGCACGGAGGCGGTGCCAGCACATACGCGCTAGCTCTGGTGCGCCCAAACGCGGGATCGAGAAAAACAGCGGTTCTCCAAGCAGTTGGTGCAGAAGTATCAGTATTACCTCAGGGTTGAAGGCAGGACTGACCTGAGTGTGGCACTGAAGCCCACGTGGGCTTCGGCTCTGCAAAGTCAGACGAGAAGAGTGTTTCTTACACTGAGGATGGCAAAGGGCGACAGGCCCACACTGCAGAAGGCGATCAAGGGAACCTGACGTCAATCCTGAGCCATAGTGTGCATGTGGTTAAATTTTTGTATCTTTGGCGGTGGGGCAGGATCTAGCTCTGTTGCCCAATGCTGGCCCGAATTCATGGGCCCAAGCGATCCCCCTGCCTCAGCCTCCCCAGTAGTTGGGACTACAGGCAGACACCGTCAGCTGGGTTAGAATTCTTTTTCCACTTCGCCTTTCTTGCTTCTTTCCCTCCTTTTGGGGGGTAATGTTTGCAGTACATAATGATTACATTCAGAATTCTGTATCTTTTGGGCCTGATACTTCTAACTGCTCCCCCGAGGCCCTTTTCCCTTCTCTGGATTCTTCTGCCCAGAGGTAGAAGGATTGAGAAAGTAGACCTCAGTCACTTGGCTTTATTCTTGGCCTCACTGACACGTTTACACATATTCAGTTGTGGAGGACCTGGCCAGGAGTGATTAAACTGATTAATATGCAGGACAAACACACATAAGCTCCATGAGGGGTGAATAATTAAAATTCGAGGCAAAAGCACACAAATACTTAAACTTCAAGGCAAAAGGCATGCAAGCTTTGTGAGAATTAACTGTGGGGCAAAAAGCACACAGGTTGTGTGAGAACCGAATGGTTAAACAAGAAGTTTAAATCGTGTTGTGTCTGGCCATGTCCTTTCCCTTTCCCCAAGAAAAACTGCTTAGCCTTGAGACAGAACCTGGCCCAAACTGCTTTTTGTCCTGGTTTTTTTCTCTTACACTGATATTCTAAATAAAATTCAAGAGAGTTCTTGGCTTGGGGGCTTTTTTTCTTCTCCCAAAGTCTACGTAATGGCTGGATGCTCTCAGTGGAGAAATAGACCCCTCTGGGCCTCTTGGTGACTGAACTAAGTCTTGTCTCTGAGTAATCTTTATGTCTTCCATGCAGCCCACAGTCGCATACTGTAACATTCATTCAAAAACTTTTTTTCTCATTCTAAGTGTCAGGGTACTGGGTACATTGAAAAGAAAATTTCACAGCCTAGTGGTATCCAAATTTACCTCTTAATACCTGCAATCATCCTAAGGGATATTCATGCTTATATGCCCAAATAATCCAACACCCCGAACATTGGCCTTCTGTGAATCCTCACACCCATGTAAGCAACTTTGGAATCATTTGAAACTGTTTACATTGCCTTACATTCCTGACAGACCATGTACTGCTATCCACACTTTAGCAAATTTTATTCAACAGCAATAATAGGAGCAAACAACAGTACTCTATACAATTCTAGCTCAATCTCAAAACATAGTAGAGCCTGCAACAATATCTTAAAACCTGGGCTAAGGCCTCTCAATTCTCATAATGAACTCTTACATAATTACCAAGAGTTTCTGTTTTTCAGAGTCCTTGTATTTCAGAAAATTCAAGTTCAGCAGGCTTTCAGCTGCTCATAGCTCCAAATGCCCAATATGCATCCTCATCTCAGCATTCACCAGTGTTGCACCCGGTGAGAAAGAACCAACCAGAGACCGATATTAAATCCACACAGGAGTTTATTACCGGGTAGGACCAAGCTAAGCATCGAACTCGGAGATTAACATATTTTATACACCTTTGAGGCCAGCAGTTTCTAGGCCCCCCCTATGGGTTAGAACTAGCAAAGCAAGCAAAAGGTACAGAAGCAGAATGTCTTGTGGTTAGAACATTTGTAAAACAATAGCTGATTAATTGTTGTTTCTAAGAGACTCTCTAAGGGGAGGAGGTTTCTAAGCTTCCTCCTTTTGAGTTCATCTAAAGGGCAGGCAGGTGGGTCCTTCAGCAGCAATATGGAGTCTGTCTTGATAACTAGGGTCCTTCATTCCCCACTGGTTCTTGTAACTTAATCAAATCTTTGATTTCTGTATTTATTCTTTGGATTTTTCCTCTAAAACATCTTCTAAAACCTCATAATTTTGTCTCAACACCATCAGTTTAACTGCATCAACCCTCTGTCTAACATATTTAGAGCATTTATAATACAAGGTCCCACGAGCAAAAGCAGAAGTAAGATAACTAAGGGGCCTGCTGTAGTAGAAAGTAGGGTAGTTAACCATGGGGACCAGTCAAATAGATTTTGAAACCAATTTTGATCCCTTGTTGAGCATATTTAGTCTTTAAATTTTCCCTGACCATAGCTAAGGTATCGCTAATGACACCAGACTAATTAGCTTAGAAGCAACAGGTTTCTCCTAGGGCTACACATAATCCTCCCTGTTTCATGAACAGGAGGTCGAGTCCCCTTCGATTTTGTAGGACCATCTCAGCTAAGGAATCAACCTGTTTTTTTTAACCTGGAGATCGAGTCTTTCAGGTGACCCAAATCTCTGGCTACTTGGTGGCTTAGAGCTTTAAAATTTGTGTCCTGAAGGATCAGGGAGGAAGTTCCAATAGCCGCTGACCTAATCCCATCAGAATGGGCACTAAAACAGGGGCAGCCTGTTTACTCCTATAGTGTTCAGTGGTTAATCCCAGATGTTTGCGGCCCCCTTTTTTATTACAATACAAGACTTGTGGAACAACATACACGGTGACACAAAATAAAGTGGCAGATTGGGTAGCCAAGACTGATTTGGGAACATATTTAGTCAAGTCCTCAGTGCAAGCAAACCAAGCATATCAGGACCAGGTCTCCTGGCTTGAAACTGTGAGGCTGGAACGTTGCAAAGGTTTTTTTCGAGCCTGCAGTATTGTAGCCTGGATTTCACTCTGAAGAATCTGTAAGGCTTGAAGAGACTGAAGTAAAGAGACACAAGAACTCTCTGTTATCTGCTCAAGGTTTAACTTAGGGAGGAGTGGCGGCGGCCTCCCATACAAGATTTTAAAAGGGGTAAACTTGTCACATATGGGGTACATCTAACTCTTAACAAGGCTGGAGGAAGCAGATCGGGCCACCTACCATCAGTTTCTAGAACATATTTAGTCAGGGTTTCTTTTAGGGTCCTATCCATCCTTTTTACTTGCCCTGAACTTTGTGGGTGATAGGCACAGTGTGACTTTCAATCAATATGTACTGCCCTTGCCAACAATTTGGATATCTGTGCCGTGAAGGCAGGCCCATTGTCAGACCCCAGATAACGAGGGATGCCAAATTGGGAACTATCTCCTGGAGCAAAACTTTAGTTACAATATTGGCTGATTCTCCATGAGTGGGGAAAGCTTCTACCCAACCTGAGTAGGTTTCAACCAATACCAGTAAATATTTGAACCTATTGCTGGATTTTATTTCGGTGAAATCAAGTTCCCAATGTTCCCCTGGCTCTCTTCTCTGTAGTCAATTACCTTTGTACCTTGATCTTGTCCTGGAGTTTACCTGTGTATGCACCTGACACCTGGAACTGATGTCCTGGACCATAGAGGTCAGTCCTGGGATTGAAAACTTAGAACTCTTTAGTCTTTTTAACTTTGATTTTCCCAGGTGAGTTAAGTGATGTAACTGATGAACAAGTTGTTGGCCCAGGGCTCCGGGGAGACAAATTTGTTTGTTTGTCCCTTTCCACCAGCCTGAGTCCAGTTTTGTACCCTCTTGCTTTTGGTTTTCCTCTTCCTCTTCCGGGGTATACGTGGGCCTTTCTGGCAGGTAGCCAAAGGGTCGGATGAGCAGAATGTCTATTGGCCCCACTGGTTCTTTGGCCACTCGTCGGGCTGCATCATCGGCCTCTCGGTTACCGTGGGCCTCGAAGCTGTCTCCCTTTTGGTGGCTTTTGTAATGAATAATGGCCAATGCCCTGGGTTTCCAAATTGCCTCTAATAAGGCCAAAAAAAATTTTTTTATAGTTTTCCCTTCTGATGTCAATAGCCCTCTCTGTCTGCAGATGTCGCCATGTACATGGGCAGTGGCAAATGCAAACCAGCTGTCAGTGTAGATGTTTACAGCCTTGTCTCGACCTAACAGGCCTTGAGTTAAGGCTATTAGTTCAGCCCTCTGCATTGAAGCCCCCCGGCTTAATGCCTGTGTCCAGTGCACCTGTTCTCCTGGACTGACTACAGCTGCCCCCGCATACCTGACTCAGTCTTCCACGAAGCTGTTTCCATCGGTGAAGAAGGTCTCATCTGGGCTTTGCAGGGGAACATCAGTCAGATCTGGGTGGTTGGTGGTGGAAGTTGTCAGAGTGTCCAGACAGTCACGGAGGGGCATGCGTATGAGTTGGAGTCTGGGAGTAAGGTGGCCGGATTGAGGGTCATTTTTCAAGCGAATTTGATGTGCGGAGCATCCAGCAACAGGGCCTGGTACTGAGTCAGGCAGGCGTTGGAGAGCCATCATTCTGGGGCTCCTCTCAGCAATGTTTCCACCGCATGGGGTGCAGTGATGACCAGGTCCCGTCCCAGACTGAGCTTATCTGCCTCCTTGACCAGGAGGGCGGTGGCTGCAACTGCCCTCAAACAGGTATACCATCCACTTGCCACAGGATCAAGTCTTTTAGACAGGTAGGCCACAGGTCTGTTCCAAGGCCCTAATGCCTGAGCTAGCACTCTTTTGGCTATGCCCCCTCGTTTAGCCACAAACAACCGAAAGGGCTTGGTGACATCAGGTAGGGCCAGGGCTGGTGCTGACATAGGCTTTCTTTAAAGCCAAAAAGGCAGCTTTTCCTTTTTCTGTCTGGAGGGACTGTCTCTTGTGCCTGGAGTGCAGCAATAGTGACTTTCCCCAGTTTCTTGGCTAGGACTTCCTGGAGGGCATCACGGTTATCATAAACTTTCTGGGCTATCAGGAGTTCAGTCCTACTCTTTCCCTCAAATCCCTCCAATTTCTATAATTTTTTTTTCTATGTCTGGGGCCAACTGGGAAACAAAGGCCAAATTTAAAGCTGCTGCATTTTTGGGAGCCTCTGGGTCAAAAGGAGTGAAAACTCTATAGGCTTCCAAGGGTCTCTCCAAAAATGCAGATGGAGACTCCGTTTTTCCCTGGCGAACCTCACTTACCTTACTCAAATTAGTGGGCTTTCTGGCCGCTGCCCGGAGTCCCCCTAATAGGTGCTGGTGGTAGGTCCCCAGCCTCCTCTTACCATCATCATCATTGGGGTCCCATTTGGGGTGTCACAATGGAACTACTGTTTCAGCCTTGGCTGGATGCCCCAGAGTTCCAGGAGTGATGCTGGGGTTTGGCCCCAGGGCCTCTTTGACTTCTTGTTGATAAATGCGGTCCCGCTCCTCAGTGGTGAACAGGATCTGTAAAAGCTCCTGGCAATCATCCCAGGTTGGCTGATGGGTATGAAAAACAGACTCAAGAAGAGATTAATGCCTGAGGTTTTTCAGAGAAGGGGGGATTTTGATGTTTCCAATTGTAAAGATCACTAGTTGTAAAAGGGACATAAATCAATCCTCCCCTGGGCTCTGTCTGTTTTAAAGGAAAAAGGGAGGAGGAAGACGGGGCTGATGGACCATAGTCCTGTCCTGATTGAGTGCCAAAGGTCAATTGGGACCTGTGGGGCCCTGACTCCCATGACCACATTCCAAACCTTGTGAGCAATGTGCACAGAATAAGTTCCTACCAGGGGCCAACTGACTCCGAAACTTGGCCATTCTGATTGACACAGAGTTCACAATTTGCCTTTAGAAAATTTCATGCCATATTCATCTTCTCTGTCTGTGGAATAAATTTTTTTGAAGTTATTCAAAACACAATCAAGTGGAGTTCCTTCTGTGGACTGTGAGGAACCTATAATTTTAGCCTGTGAAAACGCAAAAGGCACACAGAGCAAGCAGACAGACAACAATAAACAGAAAAAAACAGACTTTGGCCACATAAACCTCTGGGGCTGAATGGATTTGGACCCCCACACAGGGAGTCACTCTTCTGAGGACTCCGACCCAGTTGAGTCTGCTTGCTGTCATGAAGAGACTCTAGATAGGGGAAACTGCGTCACGTCTGGCTTCCTCCTACCTACCCACAGTGCACTAAGAATCATTCGATTCTTACCTCTAGAGGCTTTCCTGATAAACTCCTGTGGGTCAGTTGATTGGCAATAGGGCCTGACTGGGACTGGTCTACCCGGAGCCCCAGAATACCATCAGGGTGGCCTCTCCTTCCACAGACTGGTGTCCAGAGTGGCCAAACACTGCCGATGTCCAATCCTGGTCACTCCTAAAAAGAAACAAAGGCTCCAAGATAATAAGCTCCAGAGCAGCTGGCTATATCCCTGGGGCCTCCTAGAATGTTGTACCCAGTGAGAAAGAACCAACCAGAGACCGACATTAAATCCATACAAGAGTTTATTACCGGCCAAGACCAAACCAAGCATCAGACTCCAGCCCCGACTGGGGGAGATTAACATATTTTATACACCTTTGAGGCCAGCAGTTTCTAGGCTCCCCTATGGGATAGAACTAGCAAACCAAGCAAAAGGTACAGAAGCAGAATGTCCTGTCGTTAGAACATTTGTAAAACAATAGTTGATTAATTGTTGTTTCTAAGAGACTCTCTAAGGGGAGGAGGTTTCTAAGCTTCCTCCTTTTGAGTTCATCTAAAGGGCAGGCAGGTGGGTCCTTCAGCAGCAATATGGAATCTGTCTTGCTAACTAGGGTCCTTCAACAAGTATACATCAAAGATCACCAATTTTATACTTACATATATGTATGTATATATTTGTGTGTATACACCTATATAAATGTGGGCTCTGTCAAAGCAGGCTACAAGCTCAGTGGTAGAGTGCTTACCTAGCATGCATGAGCTCCTGGATTCAATCTCCAGTACCACATAAAAAAGCAGGGTATAATTTTTAAAAATAAAACCAAGTTATCCACGATATCACTTAAAGATCAAAAGAGGACTAATTATGGGGGGGGGGGGAGATAGTCTTACTGAGAAACAAAAAAGAGAGGCAACAGGATTGAAACACTCACATTCACATAATTTTGTTGAAACAGGCTTGCTGTAGGTAGCCCTGTTCTTCAAGTTTCTGTAAGTTAATAGTCTCTAATTATCTGTTCTCGATTAAACCTACAAGTTACTATTAATCTTCAGCCATCCTGGGTGCCATAAACTTGAGTATAAATCACCTTCTGCAGTCTTCCAAAAAAATTTGGTCACAGTCTGAGAACAAACTCCAGTGTTCCATGGGACTGACATACAGAGAGAGACAGAGGCAGAGCTGGAAAGGAGGGCGAGAGAGGGAATGGGAGATCCAAAATCATACAGAGTATAATTTAGTGGGGACTTACTGACAGAACATCGTCCTGCATGGCAGCAAGACCAATGGACACCCACAATTTGGGTCAGAAGGGACATATATGATGATATAAAATAACTTCATCCAAGCTGAAATGTACCTGGGATATCTTAAGCTAATATCAAAGGGTCAGTGATGCTAATAGTTCTAGGGTCCAGTTGTAAAACTCCACATACACTATTATTTATGGTGGGCTGGAAAAACTGACCAGGGTTACCCAGGGGCAATCTTGGCAGGTGAGGCCTCAAGATGACTGTGGTTAGGTCAGTGCTTCTCTCACCTCTTTTGGGGATTCTTTAACACCCACCCAATGCCACCCCCTACCACTGTGCCACCCCCACACACCCCCACTGGTGGAGTTAATCATGCTCTCCTCCTATACAACTTTATACTATAAACTATAAATAAAGAATTCCATATCAGTACATTTAGCTTCTTTCCAGTTTTAAGTTTATATATGTGTATGTCTCTATAGAAAAATAATAAATCTCTAGAAATGTAGTTAAAGGACCCATCTCATCTGTATGTTTGATACCAACTTGATCTCCAAAGTATATAATAATTTATATTTCTAATGCTCTTTTCCATTTTTTAAATTCTGTCTAATCAAAAAGATGACAAATGAAATTTTACTTCGTTTCATTTATTTACATAAAGCAAAGTTAAAATTTTGTCACAAGTATATATGTTACTATAGTTGGTTTTTTTTACACTGTATTATAAAACTCATGTAACCCAGTCTGTAGAACATGGGGAAAATTCAGTTCTCCTATACTCTCACAACACAAAATACTTCTGTGACCTCTAGTCACCACAAGCAGGTGGGAATTTCTCTCCACCACCAGCCAGTCAATCAGTTCTCTATTATGCACCAGACACCAGCTGGATGTCCTCTAATTCAATTCAATACTGACTATCTACCTTAAAATATCATCAGATCCCACCTTGAGAACTCAGTACTACAATACTGCCCCCTACCACACTTCCAATGCCAGTCATAAGCCCCAGGTTGTTTTACCTGTGCTGGCTATAACCTATAGACCTATAGAGATCTATACAGCTATAGACCTGCTGACTATAAATCAGTGTTCCACAATGCCCTCCTGGAATTTCCATGACTTTGTTGGAGCACTGCACAGAACTCAGGGAACCACTGTACTTACATTTACCAGTTCATTATAAAGAAAGTTAAAAAAGATACAGAAGAGATGCTTAGGGGAAGGCATGGCAAAGGAATGTCCTCTCTGGGCACATAGTCCCCAGGAACGTCCATGCATTCAGAAGCTCCTAGAATCCAATCTTCTGGGATTTACGGAAGCTTCATTATGTATGTGTAACTGATTGAATCATTATCCATTGTGATCACCTCAACCTTTAGCTCATCTTCTCTCCCAAAGCTCTAATCATGCCTTGATTTTTCAATGACCAGTCCCCATCCTGACACTACCTAGGGATGGCCAGCCATGGGTCAACTCATTAGCATATAAAAAGTCACATAAGTTTGGAGAGTCCAAGGGTTTCAGAAGTTACATGCTAGGAGCCTGGATAAAGGCCAAATATATATTTCACAATATCACACCCAGATATTAACTTTTCCTTTTCCCCTAAGGGACAACTCCCTTTAAGTATATCTGGGCAAATAGAATGTTCCTTGCTCTTTCAGGTTACATGTTCTTCCCAATGTCTCTTATTCTTGCTAAATCTTTACTCTGTCATGGAACACTTTATTTATTATTGATCTTAGCCTGGAAATCAAGACTGCAGCCTCCTGGTATCTTGATGCTATGCTTTTAAGGGACTCTGCAGGGTGGGAACCAACAGAGAAGGGGGGAATGAATTGAATTTGGGGTAAATATCATGTCTTTGTGGCCTCAGTTCTTCTGTTAAAACTCTACTCAAGATGTGCAGCTTCATCCAATTTTATTAGCTGACTGGCATAAACTAAAGGAATCAGAACATATTAAAGAATTTTAAAGTACATGCTAAATACAATTTTCTCATAGTTCAAGAAAACAAATCTTCAGAAGTTTGGTTTTTGTTTTGTTTTGTTTTGAGACAGGGTCTCGTTATGTACTTTGGGCTGGCCTTGAACTCATGGTGATCCTTCTGCCTCAGCCTCCTGAGTTCTGGGATTACAGGTATGAACCACCACACCTAAAAGTTGTATTCTTTATAGGATAGAAATTGAAGTCATCAGCTCCCAGACTTTACACTTGTTCCCTTGTCTCTGTCCATAGGCACTCTTCTACAGGAACATTCTAATTTCTACAAGGCAATTCTCTACTGTCCTTTAAGAAAGCTCCACTTTTCCCACAGGGTTGGTCTATCCTCTTCCAATCAGTCTTGAGGACTCAATATCTTAGCTGTACCTTTATCCTACTATGAGTTATTCAGGCAAGATTAACACCATATATGAAGGAAACTAGACTTCCAACAGTAAATTTCATGGTAGACTTTTCCATTTCACATTTGTTCTCCTCAGCGTCTCCCTTAAGAACCGAAGCTACTTTACTCTTCTCAGCATCCAGAAAACCTTTTTTTAAAAACCATAGAAAAAAAATCATGTCATACACAGAACAACAAAAATAATGACTTTATGCAACAACATCTTTACTTTTTGTATGTGTGCATGTGTCTGTGTGGTACTAGGAATTGAACTCAAGGTCACATTACCACTGAGCTACATTCCCAGTCCATCTTTATTTTTTAACTTTTGAAATAAGGTCTCACTAAGTTACCCAGACTGACTTCATACTTGTGATCTTTCTGAGTCAGCCTCCCAAATAGCTGAGATTACAGGCATGCAGCAGTAATGCAGGCTGGCCTCAAATTCCTGCCTCAGCCTGCTGAGTGCTGAGATTACAGACATGCACCACCATGCCCAGAAAAAAAACAAAAAAAAAAACTGCCAGTGAAAATATTCTTCAAAAATGAAGCAAATGGGCTGGGGATTTAGCTCAGTGGTTCTGCTGTCTGCCTTGCAAGCTCAAGGACCTGAGTGCAATCCCCGGTACCAAAAAAAAAAAAAAAAAAAAAAAATGAAGCAAAGGCAGGCATGGTGACACATCATGTAATCCCAGCTACTCAGAAGGCTGAAAAAGAGGATGACAAGGGCAGAAATCAATGCAATGGAGAGTAAGAGAACAATACAAAAACTCCATGAAGCCAAGAGTTGGTTCTTTGAAAGAATCAACAAAATTGACAAACCCTTAGCCAACCTTATCAGAAAAAGGAAAGAAAGGGCCCAAATCCATGCAATTAGGAATGAAAAGGGTGAAATTACAACAGACCCAGCAGAAATCCAGAGGATCATCAATACCTACTTCCAGAACCTATACACCAATAAGATGGACAACACAGAAGAAATGGACAGATTCCTAGATACATGTGAATTATCAAAGTTGAATGAAGATGACCTAAAAATTCTAAACAACCCAATATCAACCAATGAAATTGAAAATGTAATTAAAAACGTACCAACTAAGAAAAGCCCAGGTCCTGATGGCTTCACTGCTGAATTCTACAAGACATGTAGAGAGAAACTACTGCCACTACTGTTAAACACTTTAATGAATTGAAAGCAATACTCCTGAATTCATTCCTGGAAGAATTCGTCACCTTGATCCCCAAAGCAGAGAAAGACCCAACCAAAAGAGAAAACTATAAGCCAATCTCACTAATGAACATGGCTGCAAAAAATCCTTTATAAGATAATGGCAAACAGAATGCAGAAGATCATCAAGAAGATCATACACCCTGACCAAGTGGGATTCATCCCAGGGATGCAGAGATGGTTCGACGTATGCAAATCAATCAATGTAATACAGTATATTAATAGAACCAAGGACAAAAACCATATGATCATTTCAATAGATGCAGAAAAAGCATTTGACAAAATCCAACATGCATTTATGATAAAAACCCTACAAAAAATTGTAATAGACAGTCTCTACCTCAAACTGATAAAAGCCATCTATGAAAAACCAATGGCCAATATCATACTAAATGGTAAAAAAACTGGCATAAATCCTTCACACTAAAGTCAGGAACAAGACAAGGATGTCCACTATCACCACTCCTATTCAATATTGTCTTGGAAACATTATCACAGCAATTAGACAAGAGAAAAAAATAAAAGGAATAAAGATAGGAAACGAAGAAGTCAAATTGTCATTATTTGCAAATGACATGATACTCTATACAGAAGACCCCAAGAACTCCACCAAAAGTCTGCTAGACTTAATAACCAAATTCAGTAAAGTAGCTGGATACAAGGTCAACACACAAAAATCAAGAGCTTTTCTATCCACAAAAAAACAGACTCACTGAGAGAGAAATGGGGCAATCAATTCCTTTCACAATAGCATCCAAAAAATTGAAATACCTTGGAATCAACCTAACAAAAGAAATGAAAGACCTCTACTCTGAAAACTATAGCACTCTGAAAAAAGAGATTGAAGACGGTATCAGAAAATGAAAAGAAATCCCTTGCTCCTGGGTAGGAAGAATCAATATAGTGAACATGGCCATACTTCCAAAACTGGTATATAGATTCAATGCAATCCCAATTGAAATCCCAGCAGCATACTTCACAGACCTTGAGAAAACAATTCAAAAATTCATTTGGAACAAGAAGAGATCCAGAATAGAGAAAGCAATACTAGGCAATAAACACAAGGTAGGAGTATCACAATCCCCAACTTGAAACTATACTAAAAAATTACTGTGATAAAAACAGCATGGTACTGGCAAAGAAACAGACCCGAGGACCAGTGGAACAGATTAGAA